TTTTTTTTTTTTTTTTTTTTTTTTTTTGTTCTTTTTTTTTTTTTTTTTTTTTTTTTTTTTTTTTTTGTATTAGTTTATTTTTTTTTTTTTTATTTTTTTTTATGGTTATATAAAAAAAAAAAAAAAGATCAGAAAACTTGAATATCGAGAAGAATTACGCGGCCTCGGGTCCGGTGCCACAGTCTCGGGAATAAATGTCAAATTTCCGTAGATTTTTCGTTTCTAATTTTTCCCTTTTTTAGTTTTTTGTTGTTTTGTGTGTTTCCATTCTGCTGTCGTATATCGAAATCGTTTCGTTATTTGTAGACACAGATAAGCCATCGCTTAAAATTGAGTTTTATTTCCGCACGTAAAGATTGCTGAATGGAAGCCGACACTTGAGTGATGAGACCTGCAGCAAACGTGGGGGCTCGTCGTTACCCTTTAAAACTTTACTGCCGCAGACAACAAGCATAGGGAGAACGCACCGAATGGCGCATCAGAATGGTGTCTAAAGAGAAGACAGAAAGAAAGAAAGGGAGAAAGAAAGAAAGAAAGAAAGAAAGAAAGAAAGAAAAAAGAAAGAAAGAAAGAAAGAAAGAAAGAAAGAAAGAAAGAAAGAAAGAAAGAAAGAAAGAGAAAGAAAGAAAGAGAAAGAAAGAAATAAAGAAAGAAAGAAAGAAAGATAGAAAGAAAGAAAGAAAGAAAGAAAGAAAGAAAGAAAAAAGAAAGAAAGAAAGAAAGAAAAAAAAAAGAAAGAAAGAAAGAAAGAAAGAAAGAAAGAAAGAAAGAAAGAAAGAAAGAAAGAAAGAAAGAAAGAAAGAAAGAAAGAAAGAAAGAAAAAAAGAAAGAAAGAAAGAAAGAAAGAAAGAAAGTTTTGATCCTAGTTTACATTTAGGAAGATAACTCCTGTCTAAACTTGGACTCCAACTTAGCCACGCGTAGGTAGGCAGCTGAATAAATTCTTTCGACATTTAAAATTTTGAAACAAATTAAAAACTTTAAAAAAACAAAAATACAATATTTTTTCGGGCACCTCGAACATTTGTTTGAATTGGTTATGCAAAGGACGTTTCCCTGTCATGACATTAGTGTTCTGACCTTTGGTCCAGAGCCTCCCTTTTGTTCGGTAACATGTCATTGAAATCAAGATTCTTAACTTCTTGTAAGTAACTTCTTGTGGTTAAAATTTTTAATGAATTAATTTTGCGAGAATGGGCCCAATTGGCTTGGATTCAAACGTAAAATTTATGATTTTTTTTTTTCAGCTTCCCACTGCGGATTAATTTGACATTCATAATTTTAAATGAGCAAAATATTCCACAAAGTTTTTGGAATTGTGAAACACCTGGACTGGTTCAATGACCGAATTTGTGATTTCCTTCAAGGGCCTTTCATAAAGTACATCACGCTATTTTTATTGGACAATTATACCGCCCCCTCCCCTCCCCCCATTTTTTTGTATGATTTTTAAAAAAAATAATAATAATGTGTGACGTCACACATGATCTTTTTCCCCCCCCCCCCCACACACACTTTTTTGTGTAACAAACTGTGACGCTTTTTTTTAAAACCCCACTCCCCACCCCCCTCCGGAGCGTGGCGTATTTTAATGGACGGCCCCCTTAAATCTCTGGTTCAGAAAACATTTGTTGAAAAGATGTTTGGACCAGTACAGTTTAAACATTAAAGATTCCGTATAAGAACTACATATGTTTACAGTTTAAACATTACAGATTCCGTATAAGAACTACATATGTTTACAGTTTAAACATTACAGATTCCGTATAAGAACTACATATGTTTACAGTTTAAACATTAAAGATTCCGTATAAGAACTACATATGTTTACAGTTTAAACATTACAGATTCCGTATAAGAACTACACATTTTGTGTAATTTCAACACTAAAAATGCCATAATAATAATAATTATGTCTCTGAATTCTTTTTAATAATATTGTTATGCTGTTGCTAATCAATAATGAGTATTACTTGCCATTAATTCGACTTTTTAAAAAAATAATCGAACATTTGTCATCGAGCCAGATGCAGCCATCAATAGAGCCACATCTGGCTCGCGAGCCATAGGTTCCCGACCCCTGGCTAGACATAAAGAACTTATTACTGTTTATGTTCTTGTGGATTTTTAAGATGTTGTATATAATGTTCTGTCACAATTCATTTGCTGCCATCTTGGATACAACTTCTAAGCTAAGTGCTATATTTTTATTTATATTTTATTCTGTTTTTTTTCTGTTTTGTTAGCTGACGAAGGCCTCCTGCCAACACGTTCGTTGTTTTGTTGCTTACCTTTTTCGGGTTTAACCTTACTTTCTTTTACTAATCTCTTGTATATAATATTGCAGTCAATTCTTCTGGGCTGCGATATAACACGGGAGTTAGTCAGTTTAAGGGTAAAGAAAGACAACCGAATATAACGCACATGTAAATAAAACGACTTCATATTGCTTTATTACCTACCTTTGCAATGGACGTTTTAAAAGCTCAGTAGTAGTAGCTCCATTACTCATTTTTTCAGGCATTTGCAAGTCACGACAACATACCTAATTTATATAAAAGAATGGTGACCCTTACCACGACATATTTGAGAAAAAAATATTTAATGTAGGGTAAATTCTTGAAAACAAGACATAAAAACTAAAACTAAAATTTTAGTGTAACATAATTATAATTAACCAGATATTTAATGCAATGATTTAAAGCTCAAAATTTATGACAAAAATGAAAAAAAGAAAGCTATATAATTTTTATTTTTTAAAGTTATTAAACCACTACAATAATTGACACGGTGTTAACGGGATGGTAGTGGAAGGCATATTGTTCTACATTCCACCTGTTCTTAAAATCTCAAAAAAGTCTCAAAATCTAAAAATCAAATTTTTACGAATGTAACCGAATCGAGTTTTGATGTATTGCATTCTCGAAAAAAAAAAAAATGTACGTGAAATGTATATTCAGGAAATAGTAAATAAGACCTTAGTTATTTTTAAAGAAGACTATTTGTATAGATATTTAGTTTTCTCACATCATTGGGCTTGGGCATTTTTTTTCTTCTATGAACTTCAAAGAAAATATTTAAAAATTAATTGTAAAATCATGTCTTTAACCTTGAAAAACAACTGTTTACCGTTTTAAATATATGTAGCACTAATAGAACTAAATATATTGGTATCTTCATTAAACATTTAGCTAAACTCTGCCTCGCTTCTGAACTATATAACAAAAACAAACAAAAAATTAATAATTTAAAAACAGAATTCTTATATTTAAAGCCGCATCTATTTAACAATTTTCACGTCTGAATGTCTTGTGTTTTTAAGATGTAATCTCAGTTTCATAACCTTTTCCCAAAATGTAAAACTTAATTCAGGTATTCGCCAGAGTGCACCCTTGTAAATTTTCTCGGGAGTAGCTCACTAACCCCAATCTCATTTTTCTTTTTGGGATTCTTGGAGCCTTCGATATCTGCTCCCTCCATGATTAAAATTACAGTACCAGCGACTTTTTATCTACAAAAAAAAATGCAATGAATGTTATTAAGTAAATGCTTGTCTTGAACTTACAAAAATATTATTTTCCCTTTGTTTGCTTTATAATTAATATATAGTTGAATTGCCACTAGATTGATTCCAATGGTGAAAATAAGTTGGGGCCAGAGACAACCTACAAGGGGCGCCATAGCCGGAATAAATTAATGTTAATGTCAGAACTGGCCACGGGTAACATGAAGCCTAATTTTGGCTTAATGCACATAGGTGCACTGCCGATGAAATTGTTTAAAGGAAACTCTGTAAATAAAGCATGGGCTTTTCTTAACATTACCTAATAGTTAAAGAGGAATAGTCTCAGTGCTCTTAAGACAGCCCTGCCCCAACCCCCGAGTGCATGATGTCATATATAGCGACAACCAAACAATATTCGTGTTTTTTTAACTATAAACTAAAAACGACACATAATTATTTGAGTATACATGATAATGGGTTTAGAACTAGATGTTAAAGATGCACACTTATTTTTAAACAACGAAAACTACTCTTCATTTGTTGTTTTTTTAAATAACGTGTCTAAAACATAGTCTCGGTAAATAGAGTGTACATATTTTTTGGAAGTATGAAAAAACGCATGTTGTTACTGATTACACTGTTAAACTAAAATCTCTAAACTTTAACTAATATTATGGAGAAAGATGACGACGATACCTTGCAGTTCCACGAGATGGGAATAGATGATCGAATTTTAGAGGTAGGCTACGTTATCATGAATTACATTAAGTTTAAGAAATATAATTGCAATCAAGGACAACATAAACAGTGCGGCTTAGTGCCAGTTCAGTAAATTTTTAGTAAATTATATAATAAATTGTAAATCAACCAACCAGCTCGCAAACTCAGCCTAGTCTACTGCTACTTTCTTAGACTTTCTAAATTAAACTAAAACTCTGTCTTTCTGTCTAATGTTTAATATTTAGCTAAATAAAGTTTTCAACCCTAGACCTAATTAATAAAATGGATCATCATCTAATAATTAAAATTAAATTAATTATAATTCAAACCAATTTTGACCAGTTTACTGTTGAGTGAGTGAAGTGAGAATAGACTTGTAAATAATTCTTGCAGAATTTTTGTTTGTGGGGGGGGGGGGGGGATTATATTATTGATCTTGTGACTAGTGAGAAATAATCTGTTCATCGCCTATTTTATACCTTTTTTATTATATGGCATAATATGGCATTGATTTTGATTGTCACCAGTGTTGAATCTCCCCGCAAACTTTATCTAAACTTTAGAGAGGTTAGCTGAATTCAGGGAGGATCATTTCCTCCTAAAATAGATGACTTACTTATAATATATGAAATCCAAGATGCCATGGTTTTCATACATTGTGAGTTTATCATAGTGTAGTAAGCTGTCCATTAACAAGTTTGCACAAGTACAGATATCATTACCTCAGCACTGTAAGCATTTAATCAAAATGGATGAATGATAACCATTGGTGAAGGAAATGAGGGGCATAATAGGGCCAGTCAACCTGCCGCTGCACTTTTTTTCTTTTTATATGGAGATGTGGTATTTCGGCAAACTGCAGAGTTTTTCCGTTAAGGGGCGGCAAAAATCATGGCCAGATAGCACTTAGACTCCGCTGATAATATCAATAATTAATGCATTTACTAAGTCATTTATTTTTATTTACAATACATCTAGGTCAAGCAAGAAGCTCAGTATATTAAATTTAATTTTATTGAAATCAAAACTATAGCGGGTTGTATTAACAAATCTGATGTCATGGCCTGAGTCAGGTCAACAAATAACTACCACACGCAGCCATGGGGTTTGGTGTGGTGTAGTAATGGCTGGCTGGAACAAAACTGATATCGTAATGGTGAGACAGTGGCCTATCATCTCTAAATATAGATTGCTGTTTCCACTTACAAGGTTATAAGAGTATGGCAAAATATTACTTTGTTGTGCAGATGGTTAAATACTTTGTAAAACTGAAATTGTGTTTTAAACTGGTTTTATAAAACTAAAACCAGTTTCTCAAATCCAGCTTTGACATACCTAGTTTACATTTAAAGCCGAATTCCATCTGTGCATTTTATGCATTTGATTTAAAAATATTTTGCAGTTTTTTCTCTGGATTGGGAATTATCTTAAATTAAGTGAAATTGAATTATGCATATCAGTAATTTTTCTAATTAATAAAAGACAAATCTGGTGAAGATAACATTTGGGAAGAACAGTGGAAATGGTGGAACAGTTTTAATAGGAAATAATTTTTGAAAAAAAATGTTTCAAAGCATTGTATATACAGTAAAAATTATTTGAAACTGAGACTAACATTTTCTGGTTGTAAAAAAATTGCGGGCCGCAAGTGTTTAGTTTATGGAGATAAAAATGCAAATGAAATTATGGTACCTAACAAATTGAGCCATCTTTTTTACCTCAAAAATGCAATCGAACGTATTTCACTGAGCATTCTCATAGTTAAGCTAAGTGCCTAAATTTTTAAATTGATAAATATTTTTTTTAAATGACATGAAACAGTTTTTTTTTACACACATTATATACATTAATAGATATTTGGGGCAAGTAGATTTTTGTAAAAATGACTTGACAAGTAACTGCCATAAAAGATATTTCTTTTTTTATCAAATAACTAGGCTATTTCAAAGCTAGGATGGTCACAGCCCACACCGATTCAAGAGAAAGCCATTCCATTAGCATTGCAAGGAAAAGATATCTTAGCAAGAGCTCGAACAGGATCAGGGAAAACGGCTGCATATGCCATTGCAGTCATACAGAAACTACTTCACATGAAGCAGGTGACTCTCAAACCAGTTACCACTTCTTGTTTTATCAGTGATGAAAAAGTGCAAGGTCCTATTTATTTTTTCCACCCCACTGCAACTATAGATGTTGTCCCCTGTTACCTTTATTGTGATAAGTGCCAAGAAAAGATTTGTTTGACCATGTGTCTGCCACTATTAAAACTTTCTTAATTAACTGTACACAGTTGTGAATCTGGAGATGTTGGAAACTTTGTACACGCCCAAACATGTTTTTCACAGTTCATTAAAATGAAAACACAGTGCATTTTAATTGTTTTTAATTATTATTTTGATTGCTTAGTTTTCCCCATCTGCTCTTTTTTCTGGTATTTACTTTGAAATAAAGAAAATAAGAGTATCAGTACTTTTCTACTTAATATGGGAATAATTATTTAATAAGCTCCTCAGTCTTGTGTTGATAATTCCTGGCTATTTTTTTTAAGTGAAAAAAAATGTTTGTCCTGTTTCTGTCTATTTATCGCTTTAAGCTTTGTAGAATTGTATATCATGATTATTAAAAAATAAGTTAAAGGTTATATGCTTTTTCATATCCCTTTCTGGTGCATTTTTTATTCCATTGACACAGGTAGACACATTTAATCAATGTGTTAGTGTTGTTTTAAAAGTTAATCTTATAAATAAAGCAACATGTCTTACTTTCATCATTTAAAAAAATCATTTATATTGTGAAAGATAAACTTCTTATTTATTTCAGACTGCCTCCTTGCAAGCAACAAGAGCTGTAATCCTTACACCATCTAAAGAGCTTTGCAATCAAGCACGCAGAAACATATTGGTATCTATTCTTGTTATCATTTTAAAAATGAAGCCCATGTTAATTTAAAATTGTTTTTTGTCAGCTGTTTTATCCTTTCATTGCACTTTTTTACCCTAGGAATTGACCACAGGATGCTCCAGAGATATCAAATGTGTTGACATTTCACCCCAAGTACCCTTGGCTTCTCAAAGGTAAGTCTAGGGTGGCGGAGACTGCAATAATATTGCCACATTGGTTCAAGTTGCTATGGTCCTAGATGTAACTCCCTTAACAACTATTAGAGGAGTATTAAAATGGAGAATGCTCTGAAATTTTATTTTGTAGCAAAAGTTATAGCTAACTTTAAACTTTAATGGCTTTGTTAAGATTTAATCTTTTTAAAACACTTATTGTTCAATGATATTGAAAGAGTAAATATTTTTTTTAAGTATAGCTCAAAAAATTATTTTTAGACCCTTGTTGATGGAAAAGCCTGACATTGTTGTTGCTACCCCAAGTAGACTGTTGGCTCATATCAGGGCAGAGAACATCAATGTCAAGAAAACTTTGGAAATATTAGTGGTGGATGAAGCTGACCTTGTCTTCTCTTTTGGTTATGAATCTGATGTGAAAGAACTTCTTGAGTGAGTAAAAAAAAATTTCTTTAAAAGAGCATACTAATATTGCTTGTATGTGGCCATTAACAAATCTGATAGTTTTATTTCTTGAACTTTTTCTTTTCATCTTTGATTCTGATGTTGCTTTAGGAAAATTGCCACAGGAGTGTCCTTAAAAAGCTGTTAATGTTTAGATCTGAAAAGTTTGGGACTGTATTCTTTGTTTTGCTAACTCAGTATTTCAAAGTCTCTAATTCATTTTTAATTGAATTCTTTACCCAGCAACTTCCCAAAAATTTATCAAGCATTTATGATGTCTGCAACACTTGGTGAAGATGTGAAAAACTTGAAGAAAATGGTCCTGCACAATGCTGTATGTAGAAAGAAAGGATATTAATAATATTTCTGTTCCTGTAGCTAAAGTTTAACTCTTAATTTTTTTCTGCTGTATATTAAAAAAGGATATATACTTAAATTTGAAGAAGCTATTACATATATCGCGTCTTATTAATAAAAAAATTCCATTTTTCCTTTGGGTCACAGCTAGTGTACTTTGTTTTTACAACTTTTTTATTTTAAAGTTTTTACATATTTTTTTTTGATTTTTGGGACGGACGTTGTTGTTGTTTTACATATATTTTGCATTTCCCTGTCTCAAAGGTAATCTTGAAACTAGAAGAATCTCAACTGCCAGAAACTTCACAGCTCAATCAGTATCAAATTAAGTAAGTTTCTGGGGGGGGTTTTTGTGTTTTTTTTCCAGGAAAACTTTTAACCATGCCTCAAAAGTTGTAAAAAGGTTGGTTTTTTTTCTTGTATTTTACTTCCCTTTCTTCTTCTATGTTTCCCGCATATTATAAATGTTTTAGGTCGATCATACATTTTTTACTACACACCACCCTCCCCCCCCCCCCCCCCCCCCCCATTCTAATAATATATATATAGCTCTTTTATTTAATAAATGTTTCATTAGTTTATAATACATTCAAAATTTCTTTGCATGTGTATCGTTTTTTTTTAAAGTAGAAGCAAGAAGGTTATACTTTCATTTCTTGTTAAATTTGAAATGAAATGTTTTTGGACATGAATTTATATTAAATTTTTTAAAATATGAACTGTGTAAACCTAATCAATATCTCAGACTTGTTTACCCCTGTGTTAGTGTCAGAGTAGTTTTCATCTCTCAAAAATGTAGTTTCAAGCTTTAAGAGTAGTTTGGTCAATCAGGAGTGGGGTGGGGAGGCTGATTTGCAATCAAAATATAATTTGTGTCAGGAAATACACTCAACTATATAAGTAAGTTAACACAATATATATATATATATATATATACAAAATATGATCCTCCAATTTGTCTCTAAAGGGCTTAAGGATAAGAAAAGTTCTTAAGCAAGCACAAAAAGCACTGACTAAAATTCATGACTGCAACACAACAGTTTTTTTGTTTTCTTGGCAATATGAAAATCAGAATTTGTAAAATTAAAAACAATATGGAAACACCAGAACAAAATTGACCAGTAAAGGTGTATACACATATATATTTATTAAATTTCCAAGCTATAGCACACATTTTACATCAGTTTACTTAAAAGGATTTTACACATTTTTGTGTCTAAGTTTTCAAAGTCCTGAAAAATTTCAGCAATGTCTCCAGTTTCTGTGGGTTTATAGAACATGCATTTAGTTATCACAAGAAGAAAACATCTTTTCATATAGGCTATGGAATCAATGTCTTTTTCCTGCAAGGAAAATGAACAGTTACAGTAAACACACTTTAGTATCTATAAAACCTCTACCATCAGGGTTTCTTATTTGGACACATAAATTGAGAGCTTGACTGAGAAGTTCCAGAAGTGGACACCTCAGGTGGTTGATAAGGATGATTGGCTTTTATTAAACATTTTCGCCTCAAAATAGCACTTGCGGACTGCTGCAAATATGCTTGATATCAATAAATCTAGTAGAGTGTAGCAATGATGACTTGTTCAAACTTGGTTGCTCCTCAAACCATCATCAGTCTTTTAGCCTTGGTTGCACTCCTATCACCAGTCTTTAACTGTTGTTGTTGGACATTATTTTATTAACCCTAGACCCTGAATATAGAAACAAAAAAGAATTAACATATTATTATTATATTAGGCTCATTTATCATTTAGATTATTATACTATTTATATCAGAATTAATATGGTAGAGATCAGAGATAGTAAAGCAGGACCATGCAGTGGCCAAGGACTTAGCCAATGAAGTGCAGAAGAAGGGGTATCAAGAACATTTTGAACAATGAGATTTGAAATGGTGGCATGCAATGTTAATTTGCATTATTATTAGTGAAGTACAAAAAATAAAAAATAAAATTAACTTAGGCCTTTAATTCTTTCTTTTTTTAAGGACTCTGTGTTATATTTTAGATTTAAAAAAAGGGTCTATTACTAAGTTAACAACTAAAAAATGAATTTCACTACTTTGATCATAAGCATAGCATAGAGTAGAACTATGCCTCACACCTCAAGCTCCTATTATTACCATTATTCAAATAAGTATTGTTATAATCATTAGGCTTACAGTAAACCCGGAAAAAGTAGGCTAAACTTAGTGACAAGGTAGTCTAAGAATAAGTAATATACAATAGATGGATAATTTGGTTATTGGACAAGTAGTTGACATAGAAAAAGAATATTTCTTTTTAAAATGGAAAAACTACATTAAAATAATTATTGACTGAAATAAAATAATTGTACACTTTACTTACCCCTTAAAATGTTGATAGGTAAACTGAACAGAAAGAAACTGCCAAGGCATTACTGTACTATTTTTCTGAACACAAAAAAATGTGGTACACCGAAAACACCTAAATTTATTTATTTTTTATTAGAAATAAACCAAACAAAAAAAAACAACTCCTGAAACCATAGTTTTCTTAAAGCTCGTAGTTCCATAATCTTAGTCTTTAAAACATAGTTACTACAGTACAGTGAAAGCATAGGTGTAAACAGGTCTGGTATTACACCTTTACCCCAACCACATTCCCCACTCCTTCCAAATGTATGTAAATAAGTACAAACATAAGTTAAGACAAGCTCTTGGGGGGGTATAATAATTTACACCTGCAAACTAAATGTTTTTAAAGATTCAAATCTCATACAGATTTTAAAATGTAGATTTTTGCTCTCAGTAGTGGTGGCTACTTAACTTTTCATTGTTAGTGATGTATTTTAATAAAACAACTTTCTTCATTCTTAGGTGTGAGGAGAATGACAAGTTTGCACTGACAGCTGCCTTACTGAAACTCAACTTGGTTAGAGGGAAGAGTATCTTTTTTGTCAACTCTGTGAACAAATGCTATCTGTAAGTCCTGGGTTCAAGTTTAAAACTTAGCATTAAAAACCTATGTCAAATGTAATTTCTGTATAGATTAGTAAAATAGCTCATCAGTGTTGTGTAAATCTTTATCATAAAGTGACACATAAAAATTTAAAGGGCAACAAATAAATTTGTTTGTTCCACGATGTGTAAGATTAATCTTCATGATTTTTATTCAAGGAATTAGTCGATGTGGTCGCATTAATGGACAGCCATTTATTATATTTCAATAGTTGCTTGTTTTGCTAACCTTTGATACATGTACATATCATTTCATTTCTTGTTAGTTATTCCTTTTTATTAATCAAAATAAATATGTTTCCTTAGATTAAAACTATTCCTTGAACAGTTTGGTATTAGAGCCTGCATCCTGAACTCAGAATTACCTGTGAATTCAAGGTGTGTTTTGATTTTTTTAACACTGAATTACAGCATACCCTAGATTTAGACATTTATTAAAATAATCACACAAAATATATTGTATACATTTCATTGACTACTACAGATATTATATTTTATTCCTATCGACAAGTCCAATTTCCTTTTCAGGTGTCACATAGTCAATCAGTTTAATGAAGGTTTATACGACTATGTCATTGCTTCAGATGAATCTGTGAATGCAGCTTCATCATCTAAAAAATCTGATTCAAAAGCAAAAGAGAAGCCAAAGAGGTTAGAATATGCAACAATTGAAATAGTGGAGTTAAGATACGGGATTAATTTGTTGTATAGTATAAGTCTCTCCTAAGAACCTTCTGTACCAAAGTAAGATTTTTAAATGTGTTATTGTTTAAGTGTCTTAAATTTATCAGGTACATTAATTTCATTTCTGTATTTAATTTTTCCAATGCCTAGAGCTATTGTTAAAAACTTAACTATACCGACATAAACTTCATTTCGTGCATTTCAGGCTGAAGAAAAGTGATAGTGAATATGGTGTGTCTAGAGGTATAGATTTCTACAATGTGTCTAATGTGATCAACTTTGATTTCCCACCCAATCCAGACGCTTACATTCACAGAGTTGGAAGGTTGGTTTTCTCTATAACTTATTACGAAAAATTTTTTTTTTTTTTTTTAAATTGCATGCAAAAAGTAATCTTTATTGGGATGTGTGTATAATTTTTATTTTTCTCCATCCCTAGGACAGCAAGAGCAGATAACCCAGGAACTGCTTTGTCTTTTGTGAGTGTCAAGGACAATGAAAAGCTAATCGAAGTGGAAGAAGCACTTCTTGGAGAAAATGGTGATTGGTAGCAAATAGATATTGAAAAATAAATGCTATTGATCTCTGATCATGTAAATATTGTTTCTGAAATCAGAATTACAGTAATTGTTAATGGTTCACATATTTCTTGCATGAAACATTTCTCCTGATAAATATGTATAATCTATTTTTGGAATTTTAAAAAAAAATTTAAAATTCAGTTTCTTTCATTATGTCATATTTTAATTGTATATTTTTTCATCTGCTGATCTAGGGACAGATTCTGTCTTTAAACCCTACAATTTTAAAATGGAAGAAATTGAAGGATTTCGTTACAGGGCAAAGGTATGGAACTTTGTGTGTGTTAATACTTGCAGTGACATAACAATGATAAAATGTATATCTAGTGGGCGGAAATGCAGTTAAAGAACATGATTCTAATCAAATTCACATACATTCGTAACACAGCACAACGTAATCGAGTTTAACCCACAAACTGTGGTTGGCCAATTTCCTCTTTCTCTACTGTGTTGGCTGATAAAAATAAACTTGAAAGAACAACTTCCAGTCCAATATTTTACACTAAATAAAACTAATTCCTTTTAAAAATAAATAAAATTCCATTTTTCGCTCTTCTTTGTCCTTTTTTAAAACTTTGTTGTTATTTTTTTGCAACAGTCTTTATCAAGCAAATTTGTGTAGGTAGATTTTCACGAATTGCATGAGGCCATGGCTTGACCATCTGACTTACAAAATAAATCAGTTGGGAATCTTTTTGATAACTTTTTAGTTAATGACTAAAAACGATTTAGACCTAGGCCTAGAACGAGTAGGCTGTGTCGCAACAACAGGACTCGTTCAAAACTATGTTGCAGATGACTGTGTACCAACAAAAAATAATCGGATGTTCTGTATATTATGTTTTATTACATTTCATTTTAAGGGTTACATATTTATATAGCAGCTTTTTAAATTTTATGTTTTTTGCTATTTAGTAATGTTTATATTGTTTATGTTGTGCTTTGTTACTCGAACGTAATTATAGGTATCAGAAGAAATTATTTTTTTTTTAAAATCCACTTATAACTAAAACATATACAAATAATACATTTTCTGAAAGATAAATAAAAGTGTTATCATATTATATAAAGTTATAATAATATGTCTTAAAAAATGGTAGTTTGGGGTACTTGAAAAGAAAAATTTTCATTACTTTCTTTATTCTTGATCACTCCAAGGTCAAGGTAACGATCGCAGTGTATTAAATAGCATTAACGAAATAGCCAGTATGATTCCCCACTCAGTCTAATTTCAATAAATAAATATTTTATGGGGTACTTGCATGTGAAAAATCGCCTGTTCCAAAGGCACCCAAAATCTCTAAATTGCCTGCAAGCACACAATAGTAACCAGCACAGAAGTTCATAAGTTCATGGGTTAACTTTCTTTATTACAGTTCATCTTTAACTTTTATTTCATAGAAATGCAATTGCAATAAAAAATTTAAAAATTTACTCTCTGTTTTTAGGATGCCTTACAAGCTGTTACACGATCAGCTATTCAAGAAGCAAAAATGAAAGATATCCGCCAAGAAATTCTCAATTCAAACAAACTCAAGGTTAGTAGATCTTTAATTTGTTTTAAAAAACGTAAAATAAACAATTTCCCCATCTCTGTGGTTTAGCCTGTAAACTCTATTTGATGACATGTCAGCCTGTAGACATTTTGATGAAATTGCAGCCTGTCAACTCTATTCGATGACACTTCTGGATTGGAAAAAAATGTTGACTTCTAAATTTTTTAAAGATGTTCTCAAGACAACCAAAACTTTCAGGACATGTTATATTTGTACTTGACCGCATTAGATTAAAATATATATTAAGCTTAAGGGAAATAATGTCATTTCCAGAACCAATTGTTTTTATTTCTGTGTCTGAATAACTAATCCGGTCTGATTTTGTAATTAGTGTAACCTATGTAACTTTACCATTGAGCTCATATTAGACTTCATACCAACGTTTCCACATTGAAATGAAACTTTTTCATTCCCATCCTCTTTCTTTTACAGTCATATTTTGATGACAATCCCCAAGACTTGCAGGCCCTGCGACATGATAAACCTCTCCATGCTGTTAAAACTACAAAAGAATTGAAGCATGTTCCTGAATACATAGGTGTGTTATTTGTTTGTTCCCAGTGCCACTTTGTTTTATAAAGCCTTGCAATGTTATTGCAGCAATTATAGATGGTGTGATGAAACATTTTGAATTCCACTTCAGCTCAAAGTCAGATTGTAAAGCAGATTTGTTCTTAGGCTCTTTAGTTTTCCACAAAATGATCTTGTTGCACATTGTATCCAAATGTCACAATAATGTTGTTTCTTGGTCAAAGGCGTGATGCGCCTTGTTAAAATAATTGATGTAGTACATTAGCTAGGCTTCAGGATATGTGACTTGAGGGTTATGTTATGTAAAATAATTTTGGATTAAGATCAGTATTGGGCAGGCCACTTTGTAGTGCTGTCATTATTAGATGGTAAGAAGTATATGTGTAGTATTTAGAAGCCCTGTATGTGTTACATGTGTATATATGTTAGTGTCGTTCGTATTGTTGTCTTTGTTACAAAGCGGAGTAGACCGACTTAGACTGCGACAGTTATTTCCCGGCTTTGGTTGAGTACAAAAAGCCAGTGTCTTTGTATTGTCAAAGCAAGCCAGGTTTGTGTAACAGAAGATATTGGATGCTTTTCAAAAACCCATCAAGTCAATGCCTCCAACTTGACCTTGTAAAATGGAGGTGCATCAATCCTTCAGCCACTGTATACAAAGTTAAACAATATCTGCGACTAAGTTGGTTGGGAATACAAAGTATTTGGATGTTTCGTATATTTATCCTAATCAGTCTGGGTTGTCAGCAGCAACATCGCTTGTATTCAACAGTCTGGGTTGTCAGCAGCAACATGGCTTGTATACAACAATCTGGGTTGTCAGCAGCAACATGGCTTGTATACAACAATCTGGGTTGTCAGCAGCAACATCGCTTGTATACAACAGTTTGTGTTGTCAGCAGCAACATCGCTTGTATACAACTGTCTGGGCTGTCAGAAGCAACATCGCTTGTATACAACAGTCTGGGTTGTCAGCAGCAACATCGCTTGTATACAACCGTCCTGGTCCTAGTAAATACTTGTAGACAGCTTGCTCACTTTCCGACTTATTCAATTTCACCCCTGTAGACAGTAAGCTCACTCTCTGGTGCTTAAATTTCAACAACACCCACTGTCTAAACCAGTTCTCTCACCCACTAGCTAGATCAGTTTTCTCCTTGTCTAGGTGCACAAAACATGGTACGGCCCAAATTCCTGAAATACAAACCCCCCCCCCCCCCCCCCCCCCCCCCCCCCCCCCCCCCCCCCCAAACCACCACCCCACACACACACAAATAGCTACAGTATGTTACTGGAAAAACTGGGAGTGACAACAGATGATCAAGTGAGCAGGATCGATAATTTTATTATCTCTTCAGCCATCTTTTTAAAGATTATATATATTTATTAATTTTATTTATATGACCTGCTTACGTATCGCCAGATTGCAAAAAATGGTAAAGAATTGGCATTTAATTCCTTATCTTGACATAGAACTGTAATAGAACATCAAGTCTCCTGTATTTAAAATGTCTGTTGATTGTTAACTCCACTCTTTTATTTTGACAACAGTACCAGATACACTGCGCAACATGAGGAGAAGTGGCAACACAAGAAGTGACTCCCACAGTGTCAGATTTAAGCAAGGAAGGCCTGTATCACAGGCTGAGAAAAAGTTCAGAGTATGTCATTGAAATTTCAATTTTCCAATTTTTTTCCAATAAATGGTTGTATTAAGAGTTGTTCTTGCAGTTTAGCTCATAAATAAATTTAGTTTGCATGCAACTGATGAGGAATTTCTTTCTTTTGTAAAGCTCTTCCCTGTTAAACTTGGTATCTTTAAAATTTGACAGTGGTCACTGGATTTATTTTAACCCTTTCCGCCGCAACTATAACTTGCTATAATTGATGCCAAGTCAACTGTGTTTAAAAAAACACAACCAGAGGCCATCTTTTAGTTTTTTTGTATTTACAGAGATGACCTTGGCCATTTGGTCCATGACGAAGATTGCCTCCTTTGATTTTGTTGTTATAGAGCACAATCCCTGGTTTCTTGCATTCAGTTTTACATTCAATATCAGGATGATTGCGTACTGGAGCAATACATTTTTCTGCTCTGAGCTCTGGTATTTGACAAGGTTGTTTCTAGTCTGAATAAAAAAACTGATCTGTCGAGAGGCAGGACCTTCTATTGCTCGAAACATTTGGGTAGAAACATCTTGTTCCATTTCACTGTTCCAACTATGGGGTGAGTCTGTACTTGGCCATTGGTTCTGCAAGTTGTAGGGTAATGAAATAATAGTCTGTTCTGACATTGCAGCCACTTGCCTGGAAGCCTGTTATGAGTGAAATCACAGTCTCTGGGGATATTCCGACATTTCTCTTTGCTGGTAGGGCGCTGACGATTCGCAGGCACAGAAGATTTTTATTCCATATTTGTCTGGCTTTCTTGGCATATATTGAATAAATCTGCACCGACCTCTGGAACCAACCAGTTCCTCACATTCTATGATGTACTCTCCAGGAACAAAATATCTCGCCAAATTTCTCAGGAATGTTTCTCATACATCTCTTATGGGAGCAAAGATGTCATGAGCCAGAAATGATTGATCTTTGTTATCAAAGGAAATATGAATCAGAACTTTGCTGAATCTCTTCATTGAAAATGCTGCCTTAAAAAGAGGATTTCCATCAACATGGCTCAATAAAAATTCCACTGAAGTGCTGTTCTGATGAAGAGCGCCAGTGTGTAGTAAGCAGCCATTAAAGGCTTTTATTTAGATCTCATCAGTCCCTTTTTACCTTCCCTGTTGGTGCAGTCGGCTATTGTTTGTATCATTTTTCATTAATGTACAGAACAAAATTTTCATTGGGAGAAACAACATGATCTGGGAAGAGAGTTTGATTACAAGGCAACTAAATCATGCCACATTGTAAAACAGAAAATAACATAAAGAGAACCATTCACTGTGAAATAAGACTATGAGTGTAACCCACCCAGTTGCCAGGAATAGCCAGAAACACTTTTTCCCATTATAATAAGTGTACGGGTGTGCTACACGTAGTCGTCGGGGACAGGGTATACAATATGTTGCGGCAGAAAGGTTTAAAAATCCAAATGCCTTGTTCGTTCCCATTCCACAGCTAATTTTTAAAAAAAAACTGAGGGACAAAGAGAGCATCCTTTACTTGTTTATTATATACATATTTTCCTATCTCGTCTCCCTTGGTTGCATAGTCAAATAAGATATTTCATTGAATTAAAAGCATTCTTATTTCAGATGCTGTATGTTATTCAATGTAAAAACTATCATACTATTAGAACCTTAAAATATGACTTGTTTTGTCTTTTTCATGACAGAAACGAAAAGCTGATCCACTGAAGAGTTTTGAGTTTGCTGGTCTAATGGAGAATAAGAAGAAAAAACAGAAGAAATAAATATTTTGAATTAGAAAAACTGTAGATTTTGTTTTATTTTATTTTAACACCATTAAAGATTTAAGATGTTTGGGAGGTATTAAAATGCGTTGTGAATGCCGACATATTTTGTGTGTTGGATGGTTCAGGAGCTTCATGTAAGTTCCTCATAGATTACTTATTTTATCACCTTCCAGACTAACCAATAATTTTCTCACGTACAAATAGAAAAATGTAAATAGGTGGAACGTGTACTATTCCTTACTTAAACAGATATTTGTCGGTCCACAGTCATGAAATAATATTAACAAGTTGTTTTTTTTAAATTCATCTTTTAATTATAAACAAAACTAAAAGAAAACCATCACCATCGGATGTAAAGTTTTTTTTAAATCTTAACTGTTACGATAAAAATGGACTCAATGAAGAAACAATCCTGAAATGAAATATTTTGTAAAATTTATTGCATCTTTTTGGATTTCAAATATAAAAAAATTTCAACTATATTAACTCTTGTTTAGGTTTAGAAATTTAATAAAAATACAAGTAAAATAGAATTATTTTAAAATCATCATTTGCTTTTGTCTAATTGAACACAGGACACAATTTTTTTTTGAAAATGGCTAAAACGCAACTTACAAATGCGAAAACAAAAAAAATTAACATTGAACGAACCTGCTACACAAGCTGTTAGAAAGCTGGCACAATGACCCACGAGCATTGCACGCAGCACGTATTTGTACACGGTCCTCTTTCTGTGAGGTACCAAAACGATGTAGGTGGCCATAATGACCACGACACAGAGGAAGTTCGCAAAGCCGCACAGGGCGTACGTGGAGATAGCCTCCGACCGCATCTGGGGGTTGAGAAAATACACGTAAGAATGTAAGAGAATGAAATTGTCTTGGTGTCACAGTTCTAAATTTCCTCTCTCAATCTTCGTTATTTAATAAACCTTTTAAAAAATCCATTTTTTTTTAAAATTTTACTGTAAGAGTTAGAGTTCTCTATATATGACAATATATCGTATTATGGCAATTAATTATAAATACCGAATAAAAGAATCCTGCTGACCATCTATCATGAATGCCTATGTTGACATGGGCAGGATAATTAATTGATTAATTTGGGGGGGGGGGGGGAAAAATTAACCATAAATGTTTAGAATGCATTTTTAAAAACT